CATAATGTTTCTATTTTGTTTAGAATATTTGTAACAACTATATAAGGTTATTTTGTCAGATTGTATAAATGCATGATTCTACCTGTTTAAAACATATTTTTATTGACACAATTTTATGATATATTTATCATATTGCATTATGTAACTCTACCTTTGATCAAGATTTTAATCCATTTTGAGGTCATTGTCCTTCTTTACTGCATAGTTGTTTAAAGATTCTTTTATATTCTGATATGAAATCTTATTCTTCAACACTGATGAGACTTTGGTTGATTGCTCAGTCAGTTGTCTCTGTCAACTACTATACTTTTAGGAAGCTACTAGACTGCACTACCTGCCTACTCAAATAATATTATTGCTCTTCTCAGGTCTTTGATGGGGTTGAAGATGAGATAATCATGCTTACCATCCTCTTATGATCTAGTTAAGCCATTTCTACAACAACATGGACTCCTTAGGATAGAATGCTTACCAAACCATTAAGATGTATTCCTTCCTTAATATTGATTATGCTTATTGTAATTCTGGTTTTTTGCTTTGGTTTTTTGAGACAGGGTTTCTCTGTGGTTTTGGAGCCTGTCCTGGAACAAGCCTTTATAGACCAGGCTGGTCTCGAACTCACAGAGATCCACCTGTCTCTGCCTCCCAAGTGCTGGGATTAAAGGCGCCACCACTGCCCGTCTGCCTATTGTAATTCTAACTTGACATCTGTTTCTTGTGTACATAGTTTTTTATAGGGTTTGGAATTTCTTATTAAGTTAAATGGGTAGGTGCTGTGAGAGCTCCTCCACTCAATAGCTTTAAGATATCAATCCACTTGGGCATGGTCTCTAACAGTATAAATGAATCTGTAAAGTGTGTGGTTGCTTTCTTGAATCCAGCTCTTGATTCTGGATGCTAGCTATATTGTATATAAGATCCATTGCTCTGTAGATGCTCATATGACCTATAAAAGCCCAAGGTATTTTTACACTCTAAGTTGGTGTTTTCAAAATTCAAAGATTTATTTAGTACTCACATAGTTCAGGGTTTCTCACTCTGACTTGTACAGCCTTCAAAATTCATCATTAAAACATGAACTCAGTGTTCCAAGTTTAGTAAGATCTTGTCTTTCTCTATGTCCTATATAGAATAGATTTATGTATGTATGTGTTTGTTTCCTTTTTGTTGTATATGTTCTGGGCATTGTGAATTGTAGGCTGACTGTCCTCTGTTTTATATCAAAAAGCCACTTAGGAGTGAGGACATATATTTTTCTTTCTGGTTCTGGGTTAACTCACTCTTTTAGGATGTTTTTTAGATCCATAAAATTGCAAATAAATTTCAAGATGTAATTATTTTTCTCCACTGTGTAGTACTCCATTGTGTAAATATACCACAATTTCTTTGTCCATTCTTCAGTGGAGGGGTTGTTTTCAGGTTCTGGCTCTGACAATGTTGCTGTGAACACAGTTGAGCATTTGTCCTTGTGGTATGATTGAGCATCCATTGAGTACATATTCAAAGGGCATGGCTGGGTTTTAAGATAAGTTGTTTCCTAATTTTCTTTCATTATATTTTTTTAATTTTTGTTCTCCAAGACATGGTTTCTCTTTAGCTTTGGAGCCTGTCCTGGAACTAGCTCTTATAGACCAGGTTGGTCTTGAAGTCACCGAGATCTCTCTCTGCCTCCGAAGCACAGAGATTAAAGGCATGCCTAACAACCAGGAAGGTGGCTTTCTAACTTTCTACGAAATAACCATACTGATATTCCAAGTAGCTGGCTCAGTTTGTATCCCATCAGCAATGGAGGAGTGTTCCCTTAACTCTACATCCTTTCCAGCTTAAGTTGTCATCAGTGTTTTGATCTTGCCTATTGTTACAGATATAAGAGTGTATCTCAGATTTGTTTTGATTTTCATTTCTCTAATGACTAAAGAGTTTGGAAATTTCCTTAAGTGTCTCTCAGTCATTTTAAATTCATATGTTAAAAGTTTTTTATTGAGGTCTGTATTCCATTTTTTCTTGGATTATTTGTTCAAAAGATGACCAATTACTTAAGTTCTTTTTTTTATTTTTTTTTTTTTTTTATTGAGAAAAGGAGAAAAAAAACAAGTTTTAACCTCCTCCCAGCCTCCCATTTCCCTCCCCCTCCTCCCACCATTCTTCCCCTCCTCCCCCCACTCCTTTCCCCCTCCCTCTCCAGTCCAAAGAGCAGTCAGGGTTTTCTGCCCTGTGGTAAGTCCTAGGTCCTCCCTGCTCCGTCCATATCTAGGAAGGTGAACATCCAAACTGGCTATGCTCCCACAAAGCCAGCTCATTAAGCAGGACCAAAACCCCGTGCCATTGTCCTTTGCGTCTCATCAGCCCTCATTGTTCGCCATGCTCAGAGAGTCCAGTTTTAGCCCATGCTTTTTCAGTCACAGTCCAGCTGGCCTTGGTGAGCTCCCAATAGATCAGCTCCACTGTCTCAGTGGGTGGGTGCACCCCTCGTGGTCCCGACTTCTTTGCTCATGTTTTCCCTCCTTCTGCTCCTCATTGGGACCTTGGGAGCTCAGTCCAGTGCTCCAGTGTGGGTCTCTGTCTCTATTTCCATCCATCACCAGATGAAGGTTCTATGGTGATATGCAAGATATGCAAGTTAGAAGGGTAGGAGGGGGTGCCTTGGGGAAACAGGAGGATTGGGATCAAGGAAGGTTGGACAGGGGAGCACGGAACCACAATTCTTAGTTAAGGGAGCCACTGTAGGGTTGGCAAGAGACTTGAACCTAGAGTGGCTCCCAGGAGCCCAAGGCAATTTCCCCAGTTAGTTCCTTGGGCAGCTGAGTATAGGGAACCTGAAATGACCCTATACTATATTAATACTTAAGTTCTTTGTATGTTTTGAAGATCAGTCTTCTGTCCAATGTGGGGTAGGTGAATATATTTCCCTATACTACAGGCTGCCTTTTTTGTATTGTTGATCATGTCCTTTGTTTTACAGAAATTTTTGCTTCAGGAGATCTCATTTATAAGTTTTCTCAGTGTCTGTGATGTCTGGGGTTATAATTTGAAAGTGGTCCTCTTTACCAATGTGTTCAAGTGTACTTCCAATATTCTGTTTTATGTAGTTCAGTGTGTTTGTCTTTATGTTGTAGTCTTTGATCCATTGGGACTTGATTTTGTTCATGATGATAGATGTGGATCTACTTTCATTCTTCCCCACATTGATATTCAGTTATGCCAGCACCATTAGTTAAATATGTTTTATCCATTTTATATTTTTTGGTGCTTTGTCAAAAATCAGGTGTAGTAGGTGAGTGGAGTGATGTCAGGGTCTTAGCCAGCATCAGTTCCATTGGTCCTCCTATCTGTTTTTGTGCCAACACCAGGCTCTCATCAGTACTGCAGCTCTGTATTCATCTGAAGAAGTCAGGGAATGAAATTATTTTTTATATATAATTGTTTTGACTATTTTGCATGTTTTTGGTTTTCTATATGAAGTTGGTGTTTTTATTTTGAGATCTGTGAAGAATTTTTCTGATATTTACATGGGAATGGTAGTGAGCCTGTAGATTGCTATGTTGATTTCTACCTAACAAGGGCAAGGGACACCTTCCCATTCTCTGCTGTCTTCTTCAAAGAATTAATGTTCTTTTCCTACAGTCCTTTCACTTCTTTAGTTGGTAATTCCATAATATTTTATATTATTTGCGGCTACTGTTAAGAGTGATGTTTCCATCATTTCTTACTTCAAACCATCTTTCCTTTTCAGAAAATATTCCTTGTAACCACCTTCTATCTACCTTCCTGATGACCACTCCCAATCTTCTGATAACTATAATTATATTCCCAACTTCTAAGGATACTTTTTTTTTTGTTTTTCTAGACAAGGTTTCTCTGTGGTTTTGGAGCCTGTCCTGGAACTAGCTCTTGTAGACCAGGCTGGTCTCGAACTCACAGAGATCCACCTGCATCTGCCTCCCGAGTGCTGGGATTAAAGGCGTGCGCCACCTAAGGATACTTTTATACAAAACATACAAGTAAGCGTATGAGTGATTTGACTTTTCATGCCTCTCGTATTTCAGTTAATGGTATCCTTTGAGCTTAAAAACATTGTTGAAACTTTTTAGGATTTTATGGTTCTGGTTTGAGAACCAAATTGTGTCTTTCACTGGGCCTTTTTAATGTTTTGGCTGTTTTCAGGGAGACGTTGTTTTGTTATCTAGTTCTAGATTCAGAGACAAAGTTCTTTCCTTTGGCTCTGGTTTGAAAACCACAGTTGAAATACCCTTCCTGTAACCAATAAGGTTTTATCCATTACTTTGCTGGTTTAAACTAAAATAAAGAGAGGTATAATCATGCATAAACAAATTGTTGACATTATCAAACTTTTTTCTACACAATAACTGATTTAGTTAACTGACTATAAGTGGCTTAACATCTGAGGAAACAATTTAAAATAAGCCCCCAGTTTTTCCTCAGGTCCAAAAGATTATGATAATATGCACAAGCTTTCTCAGATGACTACACACAAAGTCTTACTCTTCTGTGAAGCACAAAACAATATGACACTGAATTCATTTATAGAGTTTCACTACAGTATAATTTGTTTTTCATGGTTTTGAAAAATACACAAATTAAATTCAGGGTTTCTCTACAGAAACGTTCATATTATGTATTTTGAGAAGATTGTGAAAAAGAAATTACCACATTCCATTCACAGGTATCTCTAGAGTATGTTACATTTTAAGCCTTTGAAGAGTACAGAGGTCTGCAAAGGCCTTATCACACAGATATCATTTCTAGGGTTTCTTTCAAGTATGTGTTCTTCTATGCATTTGAAAAACACCATGTTGTGCAAAGGCCTTACCACACTGATTACATTCATAGGGTTTCTCTCCAGTATGTGTTCTTTTATGCAAAAGATGATTATGTCATGCAAAAGGCTTACCACACTAATTACATTAATAGTGTTTCTCTCCAGTATGTGTTTTTTTATGGCTTTGAAGATAGCTGTGGCGTGCAAAGGCCTTACCACACTAATTACATTCATAGGGTTTCTCTCCAGTATGTGTCCTTTTATGGTATTGAAGAGCAAAGTTCTGTGCAAAGGCCTTACCACACTCATTACATACATATGGTTTCTCTCCAGTATGTCTTCTTTTATGGTATTGAAGAGCAAAGTTCTGTGCAAAAGCCTTACCACACTCATGACATACATATGGTTTCTCTCCAGTATGTCTTCTTTTATGATCTTGAAGATTACTCTGAGTTGCAAAGGCCTTACCACCCTGATTACAATCATATGGTTTCTCTCCAGTATGTGTTCTTCTATGGAATTGAAGATGATTAAGTCGTGCAAAGGCCTTACCACACTGATTACATTCATAGGGTTTCTCTCCAGTATGTGTTCTTCTATGACTTTGAAGATCACTGTGACATGCAAAGGCCTTACCACACTGATTACATTCATAGGGTTTCTCTCCAGTGTGTGTTCTCTTATGCAATTGAAGAAGACTGGGATGTGCAAAGGCCTTACCACACTGATTACATGCATAGGGTTTCCCTCCAGTATGTATTCTTTTATGGCTTTGAAGATTACTGTGTTGTGCAAAGGCCTTACCACCCTGATTACAATCATATGGTTTCTCTCCAGTATGTGTTCTTCTATGCAATTGAAGATGATTAAGTCGTGCAAAGGCCTTACCACACTGATTACATTCATAGGGTTTCTCTCCAGTATGTGTTCTTCTATGACTTTGAAGATCACTGTGACATGCAAAGGCCTTATCACACTGATTACATTTATAGGGTTTCTCTCCAGTATGTGTTCTTCGATGTTCTTGAAGAGCACTGTAGCGTGTAAAGGCCTTACCACACTGAGTACATTCATAGGGTTTCTCTCCAGTATGTGTTCTTTTATGGCTTTGGAGATTACTGTGGTGTGCAAAGGCCTTACCACACTGATTACATGCATAGGGTTTCTCTCCAGTATGTATTCTTTTATGGCTTTGAAGATTACTGTGTTGTGCAAAGGCCTTACCACACTGATTACAATCATAGGGTTTCTCTCCAGTATGTGTTCTTCTATGCAATTGAAGATGATTAAGTCGTGCAAAGGCCTTACCACACTGATTACATTCATAGGGTTTCTCTCCAGTATGTGTTCTTCTATGCCTTTGGAGATCACTGTGACATGCAAAGGCCTTACCACACTGATTACATTCATAGGGTTTCTCTCCAGTATGTGTTCTTCGATGTTCTTGAAGAGCACTGTAGTGTGCAAAGGCCTTACCACACTGAGTACATTCATAGGGTTTCTCTCCAGTATGTGTTCTTTTATGGCTTTGAAGATTACTGTGTTGTGCAAAGGCCTTACCACACTGATTACAATCATAGGGTTTCTCTCCAGTATGTGTTCTTCTATGCAATTGAAGATGATTAAGTCGTGCAAAGGCCTTACCACACTGATTACATTCATAGGGTTTCTCTCCAGTATGTGTTCTTCTATGCCTTTGGAGATCACTGTGACATGCAAAGGCCTTACCACACTGATTACATTCATAGGGTTTCTCTCCAGTATGTGTTCTTCGATGTTCTTGAAGAGCACTGTAGTGTGCAAAGGCCTTACCACACTGAGTACATTCATAGGGTTTCTCTCCAGTATGTGTTCTTCGATGTTCTTGAAGAGCACTGTAGTGTGCAAAGGCCTTACCACACTGAGTACATTCATAGGGTTTCTCTCCAGTATGTGTTCTTTTATGGCTTTGAAGATTACTGTGTTGTGCAAAGGCCTTACCACACTGATTACATTCATAGGGTTTTTCTCCAGTTTGTATTCTCTTATATGTTTGAAAAACAGTACATTGTGCAATGGCTTTACCACCCTTATTATATTCATAGGATGTCTCTCTAGTATATATTCTTTTAATCTTTTGAAGATGACTCTGATCAGGAAAGACCTTACCATGCAGATTACATTCATATGATTTCTCTCCAGTATGTGTTCGTTTATGACTTTGATGATTTTCATAAAGAAGAAAGTCTTCATCATCTTGACCATACTCATAGGGATTCTCTCCAGTGTGTGTTCTTTGATGCATTTCAAAATGATTGTGATAAGAAAAGACTTCATCACATTGCTTAATTTCACAGCATTTTTCTCTGCTATGTGTTTTTTCATTCCTTAGAAGATGAGTGTTATAAGACAAGACTTCACCCCAGTGAGAATATACTGAAAACTTCTCTCCAGTTTGAGTTCTTTCGATCCTGCAAGGATAATTTACACATGTAAAAGCTTTACCACATTCAATGAAGTTGAACCTCATACCTATATAAATTAATTTCATATTTTTTCAAATTGTAAAAAGGAATCAACTATCAAGGTTTTATAGCTTTGTTTAAAATAATGTTTTGTTCTCTCATTAGGTATCATTTACATCTAGAAAAATATTTGTGATGAGAAATTCCATTGTGCCAGTTTATCTTTTCATCTATAACTATATCATACTTTACTTTTCTAGGATATTTTTTACATTTTTGAAGAGAACTGCATATACTGAGTGCTTTACCAACTTTACTCCATTCATAATATTGTGAACCACATTTGGTAAGTGAACTAAGACACCCAGAAGTATTTGCATAGACCTAGAACTCATGTTTGTTTGTTTGTTTTTGTTGTAATGTGAGATTGTATTTGGGTATTAACCATGATGATAGAAAATAAGTTAACTTTGTATTTTTGGATCAAATTAAACATGTACACTCTACATAGGAACTACAGTTTATCTTCTTAATTGTTCTTAAGGAAAGGTATGGTAAATCTTTCTGTATTCCTATCCTCATATACTTGTGTCAAGAGTGACATATCATATATATGAAAAAAAGAATAGTGTATAAAAGATTTCTAAATGAATCTACAAGGTTTGACTTTCACAGACTTGTTGTATAGATATTAAGGTTTCTCCACAACAACTGCCCCTTGACCCTTGACTAGTCTGGTTTCACTAAACTTAGCATAGTCACAAAAAGTATGAGTGATACAAGGCTTACCATGGGCTCTTGGATTAGTAGAAAGTTTTGCAGCGATACTCATCATCACTGAAATATGTATACATTTTCTGTCATGAATAGCAAGAAGCAAATGAAGCAGCAGTTCTACAACATAGCTCTCATGGTGCTATAAATCAAATGGTGATATCTGTTCAGGTATTGCTACCTAGACTTTTTCTTAAATGAAGGCTTTACAGATGCAATTCACATACATTAAATTGAGGGATATGGATCTGTGAGAACTTAATAACCATCAATATATTTAAAGCTGTGGTTATTTACACTGTTGCTTTTGTTTTAAAGTTCCAGAACACATTACAAACTATTCAAGGGAAATTGTTATGAACTTGCCCAAGAAAATTACCTTGCATGTCTTCTAGAACATTGACAATGCTCTTCGGTGTTAAGGTCTTCCCAAATGTATCCTGAAATACAGTACCAGAACATATGTTATATTATTTAAGAATGTGCAACAATTAGCTTATTATCTTAAGTGCACCTAAGAACTGGGACTGTGTTATTTACCTCATTCTTCTTTCTCTAAAAAAATTACAGAACAAAATCATTAACCAAAGAAAAGTTGTCTCCATATTGTGAAACATGAAAGAAATTCATTTTCACCTATAGTAGTTAGGTTCCTGTAGGTCTCCAGCATCACATCTTTGTAGAGATTCTTCTGGGAAGGATTCAGTAAATCCCACTCTTCCTTAGTGAAGTCGATGTGCACATCATCATAGGTCACTTCCTTCAAAAATATACCATATATGAGTACAGTGTAAGTATGACAGTAAAATGCATACTTCTTTGAAAGTATAGTTTTATGATTCTGGTGTTCCCCATTCTTGTTCCATGACATAGACAGTCACTTTAGAAGGAAATTGAAAAGGAGAATCAATTCTGTTATTTCTGTGTCCTTTGTATAGGATACCTCCTTATAAGAGCAGTATCTATTCACGGGGAAAGAAAAAGAGAAAAGATCAACAGTATGTTGTATGCATGAGAAAATTAATGACTACAGAAAGGAAAAAAAAGATGGACAAAATGGGCATATTGGTGTTTTTTTCCTTTAGCACAACACTCAGAAAACAGAGGTGTATATATTTGTCTGTGAGATGAATGCCAGTCAAGATTTAACAGAACTGTTTATCCATTTTTGGATACCATGTATCTTGTCAGAGGTTGAGGCATGAACATGTCTTTGCCCAAAGGCCAGTTTTGAAAACAAGAAAACAAGATTTGAGTGTCTTCGGTGCTCAACATTCTCTGGAAAATAGATCACTGCTACCAGTAGTAATTGTGTCTCACTTCAACAGTACTCTAGGTTATTTAAATTCCATATTTTACAGCTTTTTGAAGTGGTTAAATATTACCTATCTATGCAAAATATAATCTTTATGTGTCTAAAAAACCTGATTATTCTAACTATAAGTATGACAAACACAGATGACTATTGATCTCTAATTCTAATACCTATATAACTTAAAGACTAAGACTTCATATTAGAATATTGTACAATAAACAACTGTACAACAAATGAGGACAATGGGCTCAAAATGTAACCAATGAATAAATATCTTGATCAGTGGAAGAAATGTACATTGCAATTTGATAAATATATTTATCAATATATAAAATGTTTTAAGCAGAAGTAGAAGCATGAATGCATACAATATTCAATATTTAACATTATATCAATGGACAAAAATCTATATCAAAGCAATTGCCTATAAATTATAACTCACAAGCATTCACTCTATTACTCACTATTATTATTAATGTATGTAAACTCACACTAATCTATTATTCCATCCAATTTTCCCTTTTTTTCAAAGAAATCCCTGAGCCCATAAAATTTCCCTTCTAACCCACAACCCTATACCAATTATAATCAACCCCTAAATGATTTCCCTAACCCTAGGACAAACTTTGTTGGAAGTCTTTTAGAATTACTTCCAGCTATCATGGGGGTGATGTTCTTTCTATGGGATCCTGTGAAAGTAAAATGATGGTTACATTCCAAGATTACTGTCTGGTATAATTGCAAATAGTCTCTGAGTATTTTGTAAAAGTTTTCTGAGATTCCTCTTATAAGGTCTGTCTAGAACTTTGTAAAAAGTGGACCATTTCAGCTAACCAAGTTGGAACCATCTTGAGCAGCTGGTATGCGAAACACGTCTGGTAGTAACACTATCATCATCATGCCATCATATCAACCAGGTTGAGTTGTTGTTGTGGGGCCCCAACTTCTTCCTGGAAACTTCAAAATTACTGCAGTATCATTCATTGTTCATTGTGGAAAACTTAAACATTATTTATATAGTCATATACAGACATATATATTCAGTGACATGTACAATAGAGACAAAAATAGAAATGTAGAAAAGTGGAAATTTTTCTAAATTCCTTTTTCTTTCTGTCGCATGCTCCTGACATGAGAGAAAAACTCTGAATTTTTATTTTAACGACATGCTTGGATTTATACAGGGACAGAGCTAGTGTCCATCTCCAAAACCAGCTCTATATATTCATAAATACACATCCACTTACAAAAGGCACCCAATGAAATGATAGGATAAAAGTGTAGATTACGGGAATCTAAAAAGAATAAAGGGGCATATATGTGTATGTTGTAAAAGTGTAGATCACTAAAATTAATTTTAAAAAGTAACTACTTATTTATATATATATTTACATTGATGTAGATATGGATGCTCCCTTTTGACATAAACTTGACATTTTTATTAAAACATCCTGTCTGTGATTTTTATATTCTTAAACTATTTTACCTAATTCAACTCACTTAAACGTGTCATGAAAATTTCTAGTCCTTGAGAGTTATTATTATAAACCAATTAGGATATAAAGTACTGCATGTTAGTACTTTGTTATTTATTACAATTGAAATTATACTCGAGTTAGGTGTGTTTTCAACATTATTTTGAATTTCATTAGCTGATTCAAATGAACATACTTTAGAGAAAATGTTTGGTGAAGTAAAGCAAACTTTGTCTTCTTGGAGATTACAAATTACTTGTGAAAATATACAAAAAGGTGATTATATTAATCATTCATCATATAAAATACTTTTACAAAAATTTGAGCCCAAAAGTTAAAAATTAGGAGAGATTATTTGTGGAACCTTAATAGTTTTCAGAAATTGTTGCAAGACATTGATCATCTATATCCCAATACTGGAGTAAAAAATTGAAAAGAGTAATTAGAACCAAACCATAAAATGTGACAAGGAGTTAAATAGTCAAAGAGAATTATCATCTAAAGCAGAGAATAAATAGTTTAGTGGAAATAAAATTATAGGAGGCACTTATGGATTGTCTGGATAAATTATAGGAGGCACTTATGGATTGTCTGGATGTGAAGTTTTGTTACATTCAAGACTTTTTTTGATACAAGTTTCTCTGTAGCTTTGGAATGTGTCCTGGAACTACCTCTTCTAGACCAGGCTGGCCTTGAACTCCACCTGCCTCTGCCTCTGCTGGGATTAAAGGCTTGAGCCACCACCTCCTGGCCTTCATTCTAGACATTTTATGCTCTATGCATTCCCTATAGGAATTTTACTGCAGAGGAAAGATATTATCTTATAATCGATATTTTAAACATATAAACATACTAAAAAAATAAAAAGTTATGTGGAAAAAATCTGAGTTGTTTTGTTTTGGTTTTTTTTTTGGTTTTGTGAGACAGGGTTTTTGTGTGGTTTTGGAGTCTGTCCTGGAACTAGCTCTTGTAGACCAGGCTAGTCTCAAACTCACAGAGATCCGCCTGCCTCTGCCTCCCAAGTGCTGGGCTTAAAGGCGTGCGCCACCACTGCCCGGCTCTGAGTTGTTTTTAAAAAGAAAACTGAAACTTCATCTATAGCAAGAATTTACAAAGGTTCAATTGTAGCATGTTTTACTAATGTAGAAATTGAATCATTACGGAGAGGAAGTGAACATTGTCAAAGAGCTTACAGTAATTTCTTGGGAGAAATTAACAACAAATATTCCTTTAGCCATAATATTAATGATCATATAGAGAAGTAACTAATTCTAGGGAAAGGTTCCATCTAGCTTCCTATATTTAATTTTGGGTTTGAGTCTCTATCTGATATCTAGGCATACATAAAAAACACTCATTTTTTACCTCTTACAGATCGACTGCATATGACAATTAAAATGCTTAAGTTTTTTTGCAATGAAATATGAGCATGCATTACAGTGACCTGTGAAGTCTCCAAAAGAAGTGTGAGTCATGCAAGGAAGATTTCAACTGCACTATGTAATTGTTTCACCATCTAAACATCAGGTTTGGACTACAAACTGCTCGGGACAATATCAATATGGTACAGTCAGATGATTGAGACTGTTGGGAACATATGTTTTAATTAAGCAAACAGTTCATTTTGGAGGTTTGAGGAAGAGATGATGGGCAAAAACACAGACAGGTTGAATGACGGAATTGAATCAAAGACCCTGATATTAATCCTCACACCTATGAACACCTGGTTTTTGACAAATAAGCTAAAATTATACAATGAAAAAAGAAAGCATCTGCAACAAATTGTTATGCCGTAACTGGATATCAACATGTAAAGGAGTACAAATAGATCCGTATCTATCACCATGCACAGTACTCAAGTCCAAAGGGGATAAAGGCCTTAATGTAAATCTAATCACACTGACACTGATAGGAGAGAAACTGAAAAGTAGCCTTCCAAGTATGGAACTAAAGACCACTTCCTAAATATAACACCTGTAACACAGAATCTGAGAGGAACAATTAATAAATGGGACCTTCTGAAACTGAGAAGCTTCTGCACAGCAAAGGACACAGTCAGTAACACAATAAGGCAGCTTATTTAATTGGAAAAAAATTTCCAATTCCATATAAGATAGAGGACTGATCTCCAAAATATATAAAGAACTCAAGAAATTAAACATCGAAATTTCAAATAATTCTATCAAAAATGGGGTACAGAACTAAACAGAGAATTTTCTATAGAATAATCTCAAATGGCCAAAAGACACTTAAGGAAATGTTCAACATCCTTAGTCATCAGGGAAATACAAATCAAAATGACTCTGCAATACCACCTTACACCTGTCAAAATGGCTAAGATCAAAAACACCAATGACTGCTTATGCTGGAGAGCATGTGGGAGTAAGGGGAAGACTCTTCCACTGCTGGTGGAAATGCAAATTGTACAACCACTCTGGAAAACAGTATGGCAGTTTCTCTGAAAATTAGGATTCAACCTACCTCAAGACCCAGCAATACAAATGGTGTGAACTCCTTTATACATTAATATTGGTTGTAAAGTAAAGGATATTCATGCTACAATCCATAGACACAGAGAGAGTTAGTTAACAACAAAGGATCAAGGGAGGGATACATCGATCTCCCTGAAAGGGGCACTAGAATTGGTCTTCTGAATTGAATGGTGGTAGTTGAGTATGGGAACAGGAGAAATCAGGATCAGGGTGCTTGGATGTAGGGAGAATGAGGAAAGACTACAGGAATTGGGGAACATTATGGAGTTGTTATGGTACATAGTACAGTAAATACTCATTAGATTGTATGAAAATGCCACTAGGAAGGACTTTTAGAAAAGAGGGATGAGAAACTTGTGGAGTCTTCTCTAATCAAGGAAAGTATTCA